ATGGCACTTCGCCGGGCGCTGGCGTTGCTGCTGGGGTTGCTGGCGACCCGCCTGCTGGGGGGCTGCTCCGGTGAGTCCCTTCGGGGGGGTGTGTGGGGTTTACGGTCCCTTTTTTTTGCTGGTCGGAATTCATTCAGGAAACCTCTCTCCCCGCTCCAGTGCTGTTACTGAGTAACCGGGCTAAGCTTGCTGTGGGAACCCGGGTTAAGAATCCATAGAGAAACGCTCCTTGGCTGGTCTTCATAACGGAGAGTCCGTCTTGATTTTCATCCTTGGACTCGATCCCCGCCATCTAAACCCCAGTAGAGGCTGTTTGGTCTGGCGGTGAAGGCTCCAGGCTAGCAAGCAGGAGGCTGTGAGTTCTAGTCCTGCCTCAGGCACCCGGCTGGGTGACTCTGGGCCAGTCCCTCTCTCTCAGCCCATCTCACCTCACAGGGTTGTTGTGGTGGGGAAAATAGGAGGAGGAAGGAGAATTAGGTATGTTCGCTGCCTTGAGTTATTTATATAAAAAAAAAAAATCTAAACCAAGGATTCTGGGATAGGCAGGGATTTGCCTCCCCGAGATACTCCCGCCATCCCAGACCCCTGGCATGGGCAGCCTGTGATACATCTAAGTCCAGGAGAAGTTAGGACAGCCGGTCAATTCAGCTGGACTTCTTGGCACAAGACCGTAAATGGGCTATTTTGCTAGGCAAGGCTTTAGTGAAGGAGGGGCAGCAGTTTCCCCCTGTCCAGAGTACAGGATAAAATCTTCAACTTGACCTTGGCTCCGTGATTTCTTGGACACTTCCATGTTGTTTTCCTTTGTTTTCTTCTGAAATGGTTTTTGACCTCCTAATTTAGCCTCTCAGAGAGTCAGCGTAGTCTAGTGGCTAAGGCACCTAGCTAGAAACCAGGAGACCTGCGCCAGTCAGTTAGTTAGGCTCTAGTGGTCAGAAATAATATCACCAGAGAAAAACGAAAGGAGGTCAACTCAAAGGTCCTTGGGGTTCTCTGAGTTTGGTTTTTTTTTTTTTTTGCAAATGTTTCGTTACCTGGCTAGGTAACATCTTCAGTGCTAGAAGGGAGTGGGGTTTGCTCTCTGTTTATATACTGGGGCATGGCCTGCCAGTGTCGGGGGGGGGGGGGGTTCTTGGTAGTTTCTTGATTATTGTTTACTTCTTTTTTTCCTTTTTTTTATTTTTTTTTTTTTTTGCAAATGTTTCGTTACCTGGCTAGGTAACATCTTCAGTGCTAGAAGGGAGTGGGGTTTGCTCTCTGTTTATATACTGTGGCATGGCCTGCCAGTGTCGGTGGGGGTGGGGGTTCTTGGTAGTTTCTTGATTAGGGTTTACTGCTTGTGTGCCTGGTGTTAATCTTGGTGTAAATTTCTGCTTATCTGAGTGATGATCGCTGGCAAGGAGATGTTCTGGTCTTTTGTCTCCTTTTTATTGTCTCTTTTGAATAGTGTGTAGATGTTGTTTATCTCTATGTGCCTGTTGA